CAACAAGACATGGCGGGTGAGAGAGAGGGTGCATTCAAGACCCAAGTTTGGCACGGTAGGGAGGGGCGCTAGGGGAGGTCATGGCCCCCCTAGGGTGCCCTGCCACACCCATGCTTTATGCAGTTTGGCTAGTGGGCACATTCTGAATCAGAGGGGCAAAGAGTAATTTGGAATAATTGCCTCACTTGCAGAGTCCAGACTATTCCATGCACTGCCTGAGGGTCTCTGTGAGCAAGTAAAGGGTGGAGCACAATGCCCATTCACAAGGAGGAAAGGAGGCATGAGCTGCACTACGTTTTTTACTTCTCATCTTTTGAATAGTTTACTCTGCAACCTAAGTGTCTTTTTATTGTAGTTTTTTTGTATGGAATATGAGGAGGTATTGTGAGTGAGTGGTCCCAGCTTGCCCTCTCCTGGACATGAGCCATGAGTCAACCACTTGGCACTTGGTTCCTAATCTGAACTTCCATGGTTTTGCATCTTGATGGCTCCAGTCCAGGGTCAGATCCAGAGTGGGTACAGTGGTGTGCGCTGCACTCCTTTTTAAGATCAGACCACATCACCACAGTTGAGCTCTGGGGGGGAACAGCAAGGGCAGGCAGTGATGGGTCAGATGGTGGATTCCCCCACCCCACACACTCCACTGCCCAGTCCCCTGGGAGAAGGTGTGGGCCGATTGGGTCAGGAGAGGCTTTGAAGCTTCCCAATCCCCCAGGACAGCAGGGAAAGCATCAGCAGCAGCAAATGGGAGGGGTGGGGGGTACAGGAGAGCTAGGTACAGACGTTCAAAAAGCCGAAGGCAGTTTAGATTGGTAGCAAACAGAACACACCTTTGGTGGGGAGGGAGGGGATCAAATCTTAGACTGGGTTCCACCCTTTTATAAACCAGTCTTCGTGCTGAACTTCTGTTCTGTTACAAGTACAGACTGTTTTCCAATCTCTTATACCAGTAAATGTATAATGTTTGTACATGCTGAGGTGCTCTTGAGCACGGAGTGAAAACAGGGCATTCTTACATGCTTTGGGGAGGTGACGGGTCCCCAGAGGCTCCTGCAGCACAGTCTGCCTATCAGTGGGGTGGGAAGGGATGAAGCTGGGAGCAGGGGTTGCAACAATCCTTGTAGTATGGGTGGCTGCTCCCATACCCTGTTTTGCAAAATCCTGGATCTGCAAAAAAATGAGTTTGCTAATGAGATCATTTTTTAATTAAGGCAATTTCCTAATGATACTTTTCCTGGATGAGTAAAAGGACATTCACTTGCAGGTGAAGGAGCAGATTGGAAAGAAATGAGCCTCACAGCAAGGGGTAGATAAAATAAATAAATAAAAATAAATAAAAGCATCCATAAGCAGTACTTGCAATGCAGAGAGCCCCATAAGGCTTGGACCAAAGCTGATTTTTTTTCCATCCAAGTTTCTCTGGAAAACAGTTGTGAAGATAATAGTTAATATGCCCAGTTTACCAACAGTTGAGTGTATTCTCATGGAGACACATAATTAAATAAGTGAACTAGCACCATCAGCAGAGCAAGAATATAGAAGGAAGGTTCCCAGCTTCAGTAAAACTTGATGTGTGCACTGAACACAGGGCTGGCAGAAAAGCCTCTACAACCTGTTTGGATAATAGTTTCATAGTAGCTAGGGTCAGGAGGGACCTGAACAGATCATCTAGCCTGACCTCCTGCCACAGGCAGGAATGAATGGCTGGGTTCACAAGACCCCAGACAGGTGATCATCCAACCTCCTCTTGAATTTGCCCAAGGTAGGGGCGAGGACCACTTCCCTGGGAAGCTGGTTCCAGATTTTGGCCAACCTAACTGTAAAATATTGCCCCCTGATCTCTAACCTAAACCTATTCTCCATGAGCTTATTACCATTGTTCTTCATCACCCCAGGTGGTGCTGGGGAGAATAGGTTCTTCCTATTTGCTGTTGATCTCTCTTGATGAGTTTGTAGGCAGCCACCAGGTCCCCCCTCAACCTCCTCTTGCCGAGGCTGAACAGGTTCCAGTCCCTCAGTCTCTCCTCATAGGGCCTGTCCTGCTGCCTTCTCACCAAACGGGTAGCCCACCTCTGAACCCTCTCCAGACTGGCCACATCCCTCTTGAAGTGCGGTGCCCAGAACTGGACGCAGTACTCCAGCTGCGGCCTGACCAGTGTCACACAGAGGGGGAGTATCACCTCTCTGGACCAGCTCGGTAACTGGTACTTCCTGAGTCTGGGGGGGCACCCGGGTTCCCCCTGCAGCCTGCTGCCAACCCAGGGGGGTGTGGAAGCTCCCTGGCAGAACCGGAAGTGGAATGGAAATACTTCTGGTCCACTTCTGGGTTCACCGCCAAGCACATGAAGGGCCCCTGGCACTCCTGTGGGATGCTCCATGCACCCTAGCATTGCAGCACTCACGAGCTGTGCTGCTACCACGAAGTATGTAGAAAAAACTTTTAAAGCTGTGCCTGTGTCCAAAGTGCTGGGGTTGCCTGTTCTCCTTTTGGGAGTAGGGGGTTGTCATCTTGGAACCAGAAAAAAAACAAATCATACAGGCAACCCCCACTTAGCACTCTTAATTGGTTCCTGAAAAACCCAGCGTTAAGCAAAATGAGTGTTAAGTGAAACCAAAAGTATTTGATGGCCCAAGATGGCAACCACAATTGTTTTTAATGACCCAACCTGGCAACTGCAAGCGTTATAAGGAGACTTGCTGAGCGCTCAGTGAAATTAGGCATCAATTTAAAATGAGCGTTATGGTGAAATAGTGCTAAGTGAAACAGTGTTAAGCAGGGGTTGCCTGTGCTAAAAACCAAACACCTACTATAACGTATTTTAATTTTATTACAAAAATATTTTTTCACGATTTGTTTGCATACGGTATATAGGGGTGATTGCATAATAACTCAGAAATAAAGTCTTACTCTTGTATATTGTATGTGGGAGGTGTGTGGAGTTTGTGAGGGACTGTGGTGGTTTGGGGGGTATACATTTAGGGGGGTTGTGGGTGTGTGGGGTGTAAAGGGGTGCACCCCCCCACACACGCACACAGGGTAGGTTTGTAACTGTGACTGACTGGGCCTGAGAAGAATGAGTGAGGCTAAGACAGGGGTGGGCAAAATATGGCCCGCAGGCTGGATGCAGTCCACCAGGCAATTTTTTTTCTGGCAGCTCCTGCTGTTCATGCTCCACTGGTGGGGGGGGCTGCATGGATCTGGCTGCCTTCCCTGCCACCTGCTGTGCAGTGCAGGTTCCTATGCTCTGCTGGGAAGCAGGGGGCAGCTCTCCCCTCCACTTCTGTGGAGTCCCGGGACCTGCATGGCAAGGGCGAGGAAGGCAGCTGGCTCCATCACAGGGCTTCCCCCCAGTGCCAGTGAGTGCCAGGAGCTGCACATTTACCGCAGGGGGCCCTGTGCAATAAGAGGCAGGCCAGCCTACCTGTGTTCCTTGCCATGTGCAGTTCTGTCTGGAGCTGCGTGCTGTATGCATGGACCACGAGCGCCCCAAGCACCTGTTGCCTGCTGCTGCCACCAGCGGCAGGGGTTGGTGGGGAGTGTGTGGGGGGTCCCCACAGCCCCCTACCCTCCCTCTCACCCACACTGTCCACCTGAGCTCCTTACTCTTGCTGCACTGGGTGCTCCTGCCAGCCCCAGGCTTCACGCTTCCACAGGGAGACGAGGAGGAGCCACTGGTCCCGAGGGAAGTGGAGCAGCAGTGGTAGCAGCAGCCCTGGCCTGAAGTTGTGCTAGCTGGGCTGGGCCCTTCTGCGCATGAAGGTGGGGGTGAGGCATGCGGGCTGGGCGGGGTACAACTAGTTGGTGGGTGCCCACGGGTCAGATAAAATTGCCTGGCAGGCTGCATCCAGACTGCGGGCCACATTTTGTCCGCCCCATTTTAGCCTCACTCATGCTCAGGCCCAGCCAGTCACCCTGCAACAAAACAGCTGCAAACCTACCGTGTTCACCGGGGAACAAGCCCTACGCACCCAACGCAATGAAACATGAAGTCACCGGGAGCCAACCGGAGAGCAGTTTGTAGCCTCTGCCATCTGCCCCTGCGGCGAGAAGGGCACACAGGGGTCCTGCTTATGACACTTACAGCAAGGTAGCTCCCGCTGGAGGACAGCTGGGCCCCGCCGGAGCGAAGTGCACAGGTCCAGCCGCGTCCTTGCAGCAGGCGGCACGCGGCCGGGCTGTCAGCGGGAGTCCGAGCGTGAGCCGCGGGGCCCATTGTGACCTGGCTGGGCGCAGGGCGGCGCGCGAGCGGGGCTGGCGGCATGGAGGCGGGGCCGGAGGAGGCGCCCCGCGCGGACGGGGAG